TAGGCATGCATCACTTTAGAAAGAGTCTAACAAGTGCACCACTCGTCAAATGTACTAAGATATTGTTAGTTGACAAAATTATACGGCTAATTACAAACTTACCAATCCACCACAAATTATCAGCAAGCTTCTTCCGCTTGAAATGATGGTTCCAGTTGCTCTTGAAGTGTCGTATGCACCACCTTTGGGACCACTTCCAAGCTGGATCTAAACCTAAGATGGCAGCTCTAATGGCGGCGTGCCGATCAGAGATTATTGTCAGGTTCGTCCTCCTAGTGACTGGAGCTGAATTTGTCGGAAAAACCATCCATAGCTATCAGCATTCTCTCCCTCAACGATGGCGAAGCCTAAAAGAAAGACTTGTCTGTTTGCATCCGCCCCACTGGCAATCAGGAGAGTGCCCTTGTACTTGCCGGTAAGGAATGTACCATCCACTTGGATGACAGGGACACAGAAGCCAAAACCATCAATTGATGGCTTGAATGCCCAAAAAAGTCATCTGAAATGGCGCTTGTTACCTGGCTCTGGGGGTTGTATCTCTTCATCTTGGTATCGAGGGGAGAAAACCGTGTCAGGGTTAGACGCCTCCAATGCCAAAATTAACCTGGGAAGGAATGCATATGATTCTTCCCAATCACCAAAGACGGCGGCCAGAGCTTTCTGCTTTCCATGCCACGCCTTCTTATAGTTAATCATATAACCATAACGACTTGCAATATCAACGATTATGACTTTCACCTTCAGGTTCGGATCTTGCTCAATTAGATGCTTGATAGCCGCAGCAACCACCCTGGATTTCAACTGTCGATTGCCTTGGGAAGTTATGGATGACACACATGTGTGTGTGTTCACCACACGGGATATGACCCAGTGGCCGTGTCTCTTGCTGTTGATGGCCCGAATCCTAACATTGCACCCCTCGTGATGATTACGGCATCTGACTATGAGCCTTTTAGTGTTGGAATGAGTTGTGTGTCATTCAAAATGCCGAGTCATTGCTTCTGTCTCAATGGCGTGCCACACCTCCTTCTTCGAGCCAAATTGTTGGCCCTTCATAAACCCAGTGAGTGGACCCCATATTGGGACCTCTGGCGGCTCCATGTCGCTGTCGACCATCCAATTGTCATCTGGAATGTGATTGTAGTAGGGGACTGGTACACGGTCACGAGCCACCTCATCATCATTAGCTGAGTCTGACTCTGGTCCTGAATCATCAGCACCTTCAAGAGGGTCGGAGCTGTCTGCACTGACGTTGTTCCTCCTTCTTCATCGGAGGGACTGACTGGTGCTGGCAGGGCATCCTCCATCTGATCCAGCTCATGAAAGGCACCTTCATCAGCTCCATAATGGTAGTTGTGAAAACTACCGCTGCCTGAGTGGAAGTTGTACTGAGGTTGGTTGGGGAGGTCCGGTTGAACTTCTTCTTCATATGACGGGAAAGATTGATGATAAACTTCACCTTGCTCTTGTTACTGAAAATATGAATGAGGATCATGGTAACTTTGGTAGGGATGATCGCCATATAATTCACCTTCACCATGGATACCAGATGTTTGACCGTGTCCAGAATGACCTTCAACGCCTACGATCGGCTCGGTGTAAACGAACATCTCGGATTTGGAAAGATTGTTGGACCTCATGAATTCGAGCATGACATCTACCTCATCCTGAGTGGTTATTAGATATTCCTCATGCCACAATGACCCACTTTCTCTGTTTGGGTATCGGTACACCATACGATCAACTCTTCTCGTGCCATCCATGCAAGTAACGTTAGTGCATTTGATGGAGGTCTTCAAGCAGCGGTCTGGTAGCGACCTTTATCTTCTGAAAATTGCCACCTACGTAGGTGACCCCCTTTCCGGTCTCTTCCGTGTAACCATTCCACCGTAAGCCAAGCGTGAACTTTTGGAATGCCATCTGGGATAAAACCGTAGTTCAGTTAATATCATAAAAATATAAAATAAAAAATAAAAAATAACAATAAAAAGTAATACTAAATAAACTTACGAGTTAACGTTAATCGCAAAACTACTAAAGAAATATAGAGCTACAACAGAAAATTGAAAAGGGAGAAGGAGAGGTGTGAAGAGAAGTGGTTGTCCGGGAGGCCTTTTATAGGCAAAATCACTTATGAAAACCGCACCTTAGAGGTGCGGTTTTCGTCTGCCATGCAGGCCCATGCAGACCCACGTCTGTTACGTCTGCATGGTATGTCGGAAATTGATTGACCAAAACCGCACCTCCAAGGTGCGGTTTGTATGGTAAAATCGCACCATGAGGGTGCGGTTTTGTTTGGGAGAAACAAACCGCACCTTCATGATGCGGTTTTGATAGGTCAGGCCAAAACCGCACCTCGGCCAAGCGGTTTCTGTAGGTCAGACCTAAAATCGCTTGGCCAAGATGCGGTTTTGGTCCAGAAATAGGGAACGCACCTTAGAGGTGCGGTCCATTAAAAAGGGTGCTATTAGTGTAAATTTTTTCGGATGGGTGCTATTTTTGTAATTTTTTTTAAAAGGTGCTATTTCTGGAAAAATCCCTGCTAGGGGATTTGCTACTGGAAGATGAAGGGACGGTGGTGGGGGACTGGGAGACATAGGAAGAAGGAAGAAATTGGAGGGGTGGGGGTTCTTTTCGATAGTACAGGAGGATTAAAAGAACAGGGAAAATTATAATAGATGAGTAATATAGTAATTTTCTAATCTCACTAACAGACATTAGATGGAAATAATAACGGAAGGGTAAATTTGTTACCCTTTGATAGTTTAAGGGCATAAAAGTGCAAAATAGTAGTAGAGGGGCACGTTTGTTAACTTGCAATAGTAGAGGGGCATAAAATGATATTAACCCTTTTTTTAATTTAAAGAATATCAAAGTGCCACAATAAAAAAAAAAATTGTTTGCCACGTCATTTCCAACTCAGCGAGTAAGTTGCTACTTTAGAGTCAACTAACAATTTATCGGACGGAGAGTTAACATATTGGCTATTAAATTGTTTTCAAAAAGATTTGGCTATTATTACATGAAAGGTTTGACTATTCAATTGTAGGGTTAATACCTTATGATGCATAGTGGACATTAAACAATAATAGTTGATTTGCCTTTATCAGCTTAGTGAATTTAGCGATTTGTCTTTGTCGGCTTAGTGAAGTTGGCTTAGAAAAGTGTGTTTTCGATTTGTTTATGTGCAACATGGAAGACCCAATTGAGCTCATTATATGCCATGGAGGATTTATGGATATGACAGGGGTTGTTCAAAAGTACGTTGGAGGTGATGAAGTTGTGGTGACTATGGTTGTCGGTGTATTGTCCTATTTCGAGTTAACAAAGACTCTAATTGAAGATTTAGAGTATGTTTCCGTGGAAAGGCTTTGGTACTTGACTCCGGGTAAAAGTATGGCCACTGGATTGCACAAAATTCATTCAGACGCGGCGGTTATGAATGGATTACTCCAATGTGTAGGTAACGGACAGGTGAGGATTTACTTTGAGCAACCAAAGACATTGGTGATGATGGATTTAGGGGTGACAACTACGACCATGAGCACGATGATTCTGATGAGGTTGGTGAAAACTCGGTTGTACCTGATTTTGTTCGAGTAGAGGAAGAGGATGATTCCCAAACATATGATGAAGAGTACCATGAAATTAGGCTGAAGGTTCGAAACATGAGGCAGAATTATAGAGCTCAAGTTCAGGTATCGGGTGAGAGGTGGATCAAGTGGTATGAGAGGATGAGGAGCAGAATGTGGGAAGTGAGAATCCAGGGCAGAATGCAAGTGGAAGTGGGAGATGCAATCAACCATCTGAAGCTGGTGAAGATGATGCAAATAGTGGGGGGATCAATGGAAACTGAGTATAGGGGATCATAGGAGTCTGCTCATGTTAGAGGCAACATTGGTGAACAAGATAATGTCGCCAAGTTCGACAAAACCTTGCTTTATGATCCAAAGTGTTATGATAAAGCATTGAAGTTCGTCACTTGTATGCGCTTTAGATCCCCTTAGCAGTTTAAGGCATCTGTAATGAGGCAATCAATTGAGATTGGTGCTGATATCAGATGGGTAAGGAGTAGTGACTTTAGGAAGGAGGTTGTGTGTGAAAAGGAAAGAATACTGGTGTGGGTGGAGGGTATATGCAAGTTGGTTTCGCAAGACGAAGCATTTATGGTTAAAGGAGTTGGACCAGCTCACAGTTGCCCGCGTTCGCTTCACATTCGGGCAACAGGTCAGAGGTGGATAGCAGAAGAATTTATCAAGACATTTAGGGCAAATTAGGGTTGGGATGTAGGCCTAATAGCTACTGAAATTAAGCGGAAGTTCAATTTGGTTGTGTCAAACCAAACTTGCTACCGATCTAGGCTAGAAGCGTGCCGCATGCTATATGGATCACTTGAAGAAGATTTTAATAAGATTATATCATATATAGGACATCTTTTGAAAGTTGACCCGCAAGGTTCCTTCCTTCTCGAGGTGAATGTAGATCCGAGTTGTGACAAGGTGTTCTTCAAGAGACTCTATATTGGCTTCTCCAGTTTGAGCAATGGATTCCTGGCAGGATGTAGACCCTTCTTCTGCCTTGATGGTCTGGAAATGAACCTTGTCCTAAACTAAGGTATTTCCCCTTTTGTAAATGGCCTAGACATGTTTGAATGATCAAACAGATTATGTTTATGAATGAATGAAGTTGTATATGTTTGTCCCAGTTATGCTTCAATGAAAGAACATGATAATAGGAAGGAAATAAGGTATCATAATGGAGCAGTTCTTTGATTTCATCGGAAATTACACAAATTAGACAACAAGCTTACAATTGGACAATCACCAAAACAAAAAGAAACATGACTACAACGATTACACAGGCGGTTAGCCGATTTTCTAGCACACAAATCGCATTTCGCATACTTTGCAATTCACCAAAACTAGCTGAGTTGATCTCGGTCACCTCGTGAAGTCTTCAAGCATGGCCAACTTCTCCTGTTTTCTCTTCTTTGCCATCTCTTATGCCCTACGAAGTCGTCCTTCAAGTGCCTCCAATGTCGACTTTAGCTGCTCATTCTCTTCCATAAGTCCACCAAGCCTAAAGTCACTTTCTGTGACTGCATCAACCCAGCAAAAAAACCTGCAGCTCTTCTCTTCATCCTTCCAATACGACCAAGAATAAAACAATCTTCCAGGATTGTCGTCTGTGCGAGAAGTGTTGACAACGCAGGGGGCTCGGTGGAAGTTGCATCTTATGGGTTTCGTGCTTGACGAACCAGAAGAGGATGAAGCTTTGGTGGCAATTTTCCCAACTCGCCTGGACATTATTGTTGGAGGGGTCTGGGTCTGATAGAAAGTAAGAGAGCTCGAGATGGGTCTGGTAGAAAGGAAGAAGAGAGCGCGAAAGGGGTTTCAAACCATTTTTGGATAGAAAGGAAGAAGGGACCTCGATTTCGTTTGGGATATGGAGGCGGAGGGTCGTCGGGGAAGAAGGGAGCTGTTTTCCTTCTGGGATATGGAGGCGGCGGGTCGTCGGGGAAGAAGGGAGCTATTTTTTGATTGGGATATGGAGGCGGCGGGTCGTCGAGGAAGAAGGAGGAAGATAGGTTTTTTTTTGGGTTCTGATCGAAAAGGAAAGAAGGCGAGGGGATAAGGTGGGGATGGGTGGCCGATTTTTTTTCTTTATTATTCAATTTTATAAAGAAAATAAAAAGAAAAATGAAATTATAATGTTTTTTTGCTGACATGGCAGTGACCTGGACAGTTGACTAACGGTCAATGGTGTTGACCGTTCAAACAAACGGTCAAACCACGCTCCAGGCTAATTCAGTCTTTATGCTGCATAATTCGAGCCAAAATGTTAATTTCTCAAACCACGAGCCAAAACTGAATACATGGACATAGTTTAGGCCATAATAAGGTATTAACCCTAAATTATATTTACCTTAATAATTATATGAAAGCATGAGACATCATGAGACAATTGACACTAAATATAATGTTTACGGAATTTGTCATTTCCTAACGCATTGCAACCATCTCTCACATTCTCTGCTGCTATGCATTACTCCTCCACAATAGGTGCGCAACAACTAATCAACCATGCTGCAAATTTTCAAAACGAACATGCACAGAGATGGTACCCAACTTAAGTTAGACAATATCCTCAATGAGCACCCAAATTGAGCATCATGAAAACGAGTAGGGATGGGCAAATGTTGCGGTCCCACCACCTAGTGGGTGGGTCCGAGTTCGGAGAAAATAGTTAAATTATAGGTACAATAGTTAATTGGTACAAAAAAATAGAACGCCTATAATTGAGAATAGTTAATCGATAAGTTTTATGTTCGAATCTTAATATCTTTTGTTAAGTACATGATATTCAGATTTGTGCAAACTTTCAATTGTATATAAGTTGACTTTTTATGAGAGGGTATATTTAGGGGTGGGCAATGGGTTGGTCCATACCGGACCACACTGGACCCACTTTAGACAAAATCCTAGGTATCGGATAGCTTGCTAACCCCAAATGGGTTGGAAAAATGACACCCTTGGGTATTAAATGCAACTCATAGAATTTAACAATCATATTAAATACACATTGGGAATTAAATACACCATATTAATTATTTGTTTTTTTTAAATTAAAACCTACACTAAATACATTCTCTCTCTATCTTTGATTCTTCCTTTTCCAGCAGCCTTCGACCACCAGGCTTCCTCCGACCGCCACACTTCTCCGGTGAAAATATCATCGAGAGACTCCCTACGCCACCTGCAAAAAATGTACCACTATAATAAAAGATGTACCACTCCAGTGATACGTTGTACCACTGCACTGATAGTTGTACCACTGCACTTAAACTCAGACATGATATATGTACCAGTGTACGTTACCAGTGCAATTTAACTCAGAGCTGATATCGCTACCAGTGCACTGATATCGCTACCAATACAGTGGTATAAATATCATATATAAGTTTTACCGCAGTGGTACAAATATCAGTGCAATGATACAAAAAATAGATCTGGAAATTTTAAACTCACCAGGAGAGAGTAGGGTGATGCGACGACTAGAGAGAAGAAAGGTGGTGGATTAGATATATTTGGTTCCACATAAGAAAAAGAGGTTTAGAGCTTTAAGCTGAAATCTCTGTTAAGTTGGATTAGATAGGATGCTAATAATGTTATCAAAACTGGATCGGACCGGACAGTTAGATCACGGAAAACGGAACCAATCAATTTTCTGGTTTCGATTACCTAAGAACACAAAGAAAATGAACGATCGAAGTTTAACTAGTTAATTGTCACACCCAGATGGTCTGAACCGGCGGTTGGATCCATTGCACCTATCTTCGTTCTAAACAGATGCATAGAATAAAAAAGGGAAGAGAAATTGTTTTTATTCGACTCTTATTTTCTTTTTTCTAACTTGGATTTATTTTTCACAGATGAAACGAGTTTGTTGTGATCTACATAATGAAATCCATTTTCAATATGTTTCGAAAAAACAAATTCATGCCACTCGTTATCGGTTTCATTTTTACCTAGAATTTTTAAATTTTTTGCACATATGGAACGAAATCTTCGTGATTTATTGAATCTACAAATTTTAGGAGGAAAATACAAGACCAAAATGTACTACTTCATACCACCTTGGTATAGGAGTGGTGACTAGTGGTACACAATGAGGAAATAGGAAAATGACAATTCGTATATTCTACCATCATGTATTCAACCATTATACACTTTGGTATGTTCCTATCACCACGATACGTACACTTCAGTTTCACGTGGTATGATTTTAAGTAGTACCAAACATTACCACCATGGTATAGACTGGTATTAATGTCTCAATTTTCTTGTTACAAAAATATATGAAAGTTGATATTAAGGTTGTCAATCCGGTTTAGCACGTTGACACAATCGACCTAGTGAGTCAAGAATTAATGGGTCACCCGTTTAACCCCACTTTAGCTCGATTTAACTCGGGTATATAAAAACAATCATTATATTCTACTCAATCCTAAATCCAACATAGTAAAAATTCAACACCACTTAAAATCCAACCCACTTAAATCCATCACACAACATCAACTTAAATCAGACAAAGTAAAAGTTCAATCTTAACACTTAAATCTCCTCTTCTTCTCTTTCTTTTCCAAGAGCAGGCAGAGCTTCCAACGGAAATCTCCGATTTTGCCCCTCCAATCGGTTTTTTTTCCTGACTGTTTACACTAAAAAATAATCGTGTACCGCATTAATTGTCTTTATAAGGCCAGATCAACAATAACAATTAATGTTATTTAAACTGGGCCTACGATACTAGATTTTTAAACCCAAATGATTAGGCCTGGCATGACGCGCGAGAATAAACTAAGTCCGGTGCCTCATCGCGACAAGCCTCCTCGCGTCAAGTTGGTAGACCGCCTTGTCGCGACAAACCGCCTTTTCTAAACCACATCGTGAGTCTTCAAGATACGAGGGGAGAAGGTCACAAGATAAACGAAGTTCGAGCGCCAAGCCTCCTCGCGTCAAGCCACTTCGCGAGTTCGCCAGGCCACCTTGTCGCAAGTCCGCCAAGCCTCTACCAAGTCCAAGCGCCAAGCCTCCTCGCGTAAAGTTTGGTAGACCGCCTGGTCGCGACAAGCCTTGTCGCGCCAAGTCTTGTCGCGCCAAGTTTGATAAAGAAAAGGGCAAGTAACAAGATGACAGTTTCAAAAGGAAGAGCCGACGGTTTGATTGAGAAACTGTCAATTATTCCACGTTCAAGGACACGTCAGCCACGTCCGGGAAAGAATGGAGGCGGTTTCTTTTTGGAAGTTACTCTCCAGACAGTTTTCTACGACGGTTATCACCTCAGGCCTATAAATAGGAGGAAGAGTTGTCAGAGAAAGGCCCGCGAAAATCACCACCTGACACCACTTGTCAAGTTTTATCAATTTTATCTTTCCTCTGCAACTTTTACCAGTAGTCGTAGATTTGGAGCTCTCTCAGAACCTCCATAGGAGTAGGAATAACTTAATGTAGATCTGTCTCGAGAGTCGTGTAAACATCGATCACCCTCGTTCGAACTGTGTTTGAAGAGGTGTGAACTGTGTTAAGTTAATCGTTGTCCAAAGAAGTCAAGGTGCAATCAATTCGTTTCAAAGCAAGTTTTCTCGCCGGAGAACAAATTTGGCACACCTGGTGGGACACTTGTGGTTGATTCGATGGCTCCGAGGCGGAGAAATCTGGAAGGTGACGTTCCGGCTGGATTCGTGGAGGAGCAGGTGGCCAACCTCGAGCATGGCCAAGCATCTGACGCGGTTGCCGGAGGAAATGGTGGAGCAAAGAGCTTGGCGGCGACTGCTCCTGGTGGAGAACTTGGCGAAGCCATGGGGGCCCTTCGTCAGATGATGGAGGAGAACCGCCGCATGTTGGAAGAGACTCGGGCAAATACTCATCAGGTAAATTCTCAGATAGACTGTCTAAATTCTCGCCTAGATAGACGTTTCAGTCAATTGCTTGAAGTAGTCAACAAAAATGCAAATGAGGTGGATCAACTCCGACAGTCTTTAGGTAGACCAGTAGTGCAGTCAAGAGCTTTGCCATTAGATGGCACAGGCGTAACGCCTAATAATAGTGTTCTTTCTCCTACCGGTGGTCAGAATGGCCAACCACGGCAAGAGAACTTGCCGCCTCAAACGGCAAGCCAACCACCTCAAACGGCAAGCCAACCACCTCCACGTCGAGTAGGTGATGTCGAGATTCCTGCTACAACTCAAGTGGGGGAATCATCACAGGCACGCGTGGGAGTTGAAGTGGTACCCCCGCATGGTGAGAACCTCGCCACCATGTTCAACACTCGAGTTGAGCAACAACCTGTGCAAGTGGGTGCTCGTCCCTCTATCCCGGAGGCAAGACCCTACGTGGCTCCCGTGAATTTGGGAGTAGGAGGAGGCCTAGGTGGCAACATGGATCAAATCCCACCTCGAGGCTACCCGACTCCAATGCCACCCCAGTTCAATGGGCATGGCATGGACCCCATTGGGTTTGTACCGTATGGAGGGCAACAAGGGGGGCATGAGGCCAACACTCTTAGAGATCAGGTGGCTCAACTCCTCACGGAGCAGTTTGGCATGGGAATAAGACCTGCTATGCCACCTGTATACCGTAAGCCGTACCCAGAATGGGTAGATAGACTTTACCCTTTTCCAAGGGGATTCAGAGTTCCCGAGTTTGCCACATTCACAGGGACTGGAGATCAGTCCACTGTAGAGCACGTTGGACGTTTCACCGTCCAATGTGGCGATGTGGGAGATTTTGTTAAGTTAAGACTATTT